TGGTTATTTTTCAGCTAGAGGATGAAATCGGTTGAAGATAAATAACAACAGAAACATACGAAAAGATGTAATAACAAGTATCTCCATGAACAACATGGTAAAATCGAGAGGTAAAAGAGGAAAATAAAATATATATTTCAACAAGAATCCTAATGATTATCATGCTGATCTCCATCCTTCTCTTTTAACAGGAAATACTTTTCCAAATGTCATCATGTATTCACAATATCAGGGGATAGAATTGAAATAGACATGAAAACCGAGAGATGGAAATTCAAAGTCAAATGATAACATTTTCTTATCCTTTACATTTTATTCAAAGTTATTCAAAGTTCAGTCTCCCTTTGGATTATATTGATCATCATGGTCATCAGAATTGAGTTTATCTGAATTGAAGGTTTTGGAAGGTAAAAGTTTTCTTTACCTATTGAAAATGTCCTTTGCGATCTTTAATCAGAAACTTTGATTCAATTTGGATTTGAACTTTTGGTCAAAAGTTCTGATTCTCATACTGAATTGATTGTCAACTACAACAACAGTGAGAGTTGAAAAGGATAAAAATAATATACAAAACAAAAAAGGCAACGATAACAACAACATTAGAGTTAAAACCATGTAATTGATGAACTTTAATTCAGATCAGAAACTGAACAGGAATCATGATGATAAAGGTAACCATGAGGAAGAAAAGGAAAAGAAAAAAAGTTTCCTGAATGAGGAGAAAGAAAAGAATCAAATTTACTGAATTTTTTTTCTCCTCATCTTCTATCAATGGAACTTGCAATGAACAGAAAAAAAAAGAATTTTTTTATTTTCTTCACAATCAGGATGTATTATCATGAATCGAAAAGTAAACTGAAACTGGAGGAATAGAAATTCAGATAAAGAACAGTCAGTAACTGGAAAGAAAAGAAGAAAAAAGTAAGAGAAAAAGTAATTCTATTCTTTTTCATGGTGAGTTCATGATGATATGAAAAAGCTCTCAAGATTTTTGAAAGTTTATTCGAAACTGATACAAACCAGGTAAGCTTAAAATCTCAGTGTGACATTGAATTTCATTCAACAGATGAACTGATTGATTTACAGAATGAAATTGAAACTTGATTAATTATATAGAATCCAAAGTGAACTCATAAAAAAGTTTCATTTCAAAGCCACAGAATTTCAGTAAAACGTTCAAGCAATAATTTAATCCATAACCAATTAAGAGTAACGATGTAACTCTAACAATTAGTGTAAATCATAATCAATATAACTGATAAATTATATCTCATTACAGGATAACTTGTGATTAAGAAGATGATTTCTTGAAGATTCCAGTGAGAAAAACAGATAATATTAACACTCAGAATTTTCACTTTACTATGATGATCGTCATTATCCTCTCGTTTTCTCCCTTCACCCTAATTCATCTTCCAAGATACATCTTCATCTTATCATCCGCCCTAATATCAGATGATAAATCTCACGGTATTTTACTCTCTCACATTCTTGTTATCATTTTTTTTTATTTTGGTCAGTTTGACTGTCCAGTCTATAGAACACAACCTATGGACACATTGATTGTATTACTAATAGCATTTATCATCCAGAGAGAGAGAGAGAGAGAGAGAGAGAGATTATTTCTACTATGCTTAGAGATAAAGGAGAAATTTTTTTTCTCTCTCTCATCATCTTCCATCATCAACAATATCTATCAACTGATATATTCAAAAGGAGACCAAGTCACGCAACTGGATGAGGTCAAATTTTTCACTCCCAGTTTCATATCAACTTTTCATCTGATGATGATACTTATTATTATATTTTCACTGACCATCTAATATATTTGTAAGCCCTTTGGTTAGTATAATAATAATAACAGACTTGAGGTTTCAGATTAGATTTTGATATAAGATGAAAAGTTTGATAAGATCATGAGATACATAAGATGATGATTATTATTATATTGGTCAAGTTCTTAAAAAAAGATTCTCATTCCAATGATAGGTTGAATTTTTCTTCTTCCATGATAATAATACCCTGATAAGATAATAATAACAGAGTAGTCGATAAAAATAATTATGATGATAATAATATTTAACTGTCACCCTTTTTTTGATTATATTGCTCTGTTGTTGGCTTATTTACAATTGATTAAATTATCTTCATCTTAATCAATGGTTAATATCAAACTGTGAGTTATTGATAAAAAAGTGTAGACGTTGAATGGATTCAATTGAAATCATATTATTAATTCCTGGGTGTGTAAAAAGTTGATTCTATCAGCAATTAACCTTTAAACAGCCGTTGATTAACAATTTAGCGCATTAATAAACAATCAATACTTGGAGATTTCAATTTGCTCAAAAAGTATGAGAATAATGAACTTTTTCAATTCAATTTTCTATTTGTTTAGTGTTTTGTGAACAAACTCTGAATATATAATATATTTCATCATGAAGATCATGTTGAATTTGTTGTTGTTTGTTGTTGTTGTTTTTTGGTTGAATTAGTTGATTGTTTCAAAGCTCAATGCAAATTATAATATCATTATTGTTTTTGTTGTTCCAGTTAAAGGTAAACATCATGTAACTAAATGCAAATGGTTATAATGTTAGAGATATAATGATTTCCGATAGTCAATCTTGTCAACTAGGCTTTTATTTTTTTTTTGCCTGTTGATGTCAATTGATGTTTGCTTGTTGTTTTCATATGGAAACAAAAACAACAACAACAATCATTACTTGATGATGTAAAAGGGAAGAGGATGAGGAAGATAAATGATGATAAGAGAGAAAGTGAGATGGAAGAGGAAAAATACCAGAAATTCATTGAACTGTATTCTAAAAGGCCTCGAAGGTTTTTATCTCATCAATATCATATATCATCATGATTTCCATGACAAGAAGTGTTTAAATGTCATCTTCCACTCTCTCACCTTGATGTCTTGTTTTCAAGGTAAATTGTAGAAATGTAATCACGACAATTAACTGATTACCATTATTATTTTTGTTTCATCAGATTACAATATTTAACCGATAAACATGCAACAAATTCAAATTATGAGTTGGAAATCTTTTTTTTAATTAGTTTCTTTTCTCCTAATTGTTGAATTAATTTACTAAATGGTGCAAACAAAACTGAAAGAAAAAGTTACATTGAGAAAACATTTAAACATCTAATTTGTAGTGTATTTGATTAGGTTAATTGCTTAATCATTTTCTCAGTAAAAGACAAACAACAAAATTGTGATCCATTATGGTTACATTACTTTTACCGTTATAACGGTAAAAATTTTCATCCCTCTCTCTCTCTGTTTAAATCAATGGGAAAGTTGATACTAAATCGTAACAATCAAATAGATTTACATGTTAAATATAAGCTAATTTTGATTGTTAAATTGTAAAATAATCAATCCACTAGACCAGGAATATTTTGGCTCAATTTTTACTCAAACAAGATGAATACATTTTCAATGTAACTCATATTCTGATATCTTTGCAGTTTTTACAGAATTTTTTTCATAACAATTTATTCAATTCAACTGCAACTGAATAAACATCCTGAAGATGGTGAAAAATAGCAAATGATTTACAGTCTGATTAGTTTTAAAATTTTGCTCAAAGCAATTAAATTATGCTAAAGATTAATGAAGCTAATCAAGATAATGTAATATTATCGTCAAGTTAAATCAATTAACTTCAATATTCAAATTTGTTTTTTTTTTGGTTGGTAAAAATTTTAAAGTTCATTCATACAGATAAATAATATCTGAATTCAGTTTTGCAATTATTTTGCTTGGGGCAAATCAAAATAACATGAGAGCAGCAATCAAGTACATTAAGATGATTAAGTTTTGATGGGAAAAGAATTGATAATTTTAACCAAGTTTTCATTGAGATAAATGTATTGATGAGTTATATTAATAGTTAATTGTGAAGAAATTAAAAAATTAGAATGATTAATATTTGCACTAGCAATTTACTGGATTAAAAATGAAATCAGGAAAAGATGAAGATAAAAAAGTATCACATTAATCATTAAGATATGAAGAGTTGATCAATTAGACAACATGATGATTATTAATAATACGATTGGTGTGACTTGATTGTTGCACTAACACTGACAATGTTAAGTGTGTTGATTGATTAGTATTAGGATAACAAACCATTTACCCAAATGATAATTGATCAACAGACTGTAAGTTACAGTGTTATGGTGGTAAAAAAAAGCTAAAGTTACATGAAACAAGAGGAGAAAGTGAGTGGGAAAAGTAAACCCACTCTAACAGTAGTACAGGAACTGAATACTTTGATTACTGGATTATTATCATGATGATAGAAATGATAAAACAATCATTAGCATTTCAATCAACCCGAACAGTTATCACCGATAATAAGTAATTCAGGGAACAAGAACTTTTTTTTTTGCTCTAAAAACTAAATTTTTTTCATCAAAATCTAAGACCATCAACAACAACATGCGGAAAAAAATTCTCAGAATTCATTGAATCCCATGAATACTATGTTGCTGCTGTTGTTATATTTGAACAATATACTATCATTATCATGTGAACAATGTCAACGATCTTTACAGAATCATATTATCATGGTTATTATCATGAGTAACTATTACCATTTTTGTCCTGCTCTGTTTTTCATATGTAACTTCATGGTCCATGTTTAATGTCATGTTTAAAAAACAAGGTAAAAAAGGAAACACCAGAAAACGTATTGAAAACTTTACGTGACTTGAATGTGACAATTAATTTTGATCATATTAAATATCATCAAATCATTTCCAACCAACAATAACAACAACAATTTAAAAAGTTAACTGATAATCATGATTGTTAATGATTATCATGATAATCATTATCTCTTGCAATCTCTTAAATTGTTGTGTTTCCTCGTCATTTCTGTTGATCAATTTTTCTAATTCGTTTCATAACAGTTTACTTCTAATTGTGATTAATTGATTGTTTACACTTTTCTCTCTCCCTCCCTCTCTCTTTTCAGATCTTTCTGATCCAGAAAATGAGCCAGAATTTATATCATCCATTCCCAACCTAACGGTTCAAGTTGGTAGAGATGCTCAGCTTCCCTGTACAGTTGATAATTTAGGTTCATATAAGGTAAGATAATTAAAGTTAATTAATCTTAATCAATTTGAAAATTTTTCCCCATTTATGATGGTCGATAACATATATTTACTATAACTGATTATTGTTCAATGATTGTATTTGATGAGTGGACATTAATTAGGGTTCAATCAACGTTGTAAGTTGTTAATTACTGTTAGTTTAACTTATTGATCATTTCGTTGTTCAGTTGATAGCGATGTCTCATATTAACGTGTTAATCAATCTCAATAGTAATTAGTTTAATTCATTTATCAACTTGATTCATCTACTTTTACAATAAATTAACCTGATTATATGGAAAAAGTAACAACAATTAGTCAATTGTATTCAAAATTAATCTATTCTAATCTACTATTTATCAGATAGATAATATCATCTATATCTGAATTCATCAATGAGATTACACCCTGAAAAGATTTAATTTGTTGATAATTTTTATTTCTCTCTGAAATTCTGGTTCATGTTTAAGTTAATTGTTGGCAAGTTGACAGTTTGTGATTAACCGTGAATCCGGTGAATACATTGTATTAAATTAACCATAAAATCAAAAAAAAAGTCATAATAATAATCAAGATAAACAATTAAAGTTTAAATTGCAACACTTAACATGGGAAATAATTTGCTAACTCATATTTCTTGCCAAATGATAACCATGATAAACATTATTAATATTATTAATAACTAACAATCAATTCAATTGTAACATGACAATCATCATTTAACTAAGTCTTTAATCAACTTTAATTACAGGTAGCATGGTTACGAGTTGAAGATAAAGGTATATTAACAATTCATGATCATATTATCACACGAAATTATCGGGTCAGTTTAACTGTGACCGATAATCGTAATTTTTTATTGACCATTAAAAGTGTCGCCGAAAGTGATAAAGGTGGTTACATGTGCCAGGTAAACACGGTACCAATGAGAAGCCAAGTGGGCTATTTGGATGTTGTCTATCCACCCACGATCATTGGTGATAATCGAAGTGATTTCATCTTTAATGAAGGTTCAAATGCCACTTTAACCTGTAAGGCCAAAGGTTATCCAAGTCCAACAATCCTTTGGAAGAGAGAGGATAAGAAAGAGATCCCATTGCACAATAGTCAAGGTAAAAAGTACATAGGTGAGTACATTTACTTACCTTGCAATTAATATGTGAATGAGGCCAAAAAAAACTCGAAGACTTACTGAACATTATCGAAAATTGTTCCAAACAAGAAAAAACTTTTCTTCTTCAACATAATAATAGAAGGTGAAAGTTGAGCTTGATTAGCTTTCATTATCTCTCATCATCCTACTTTTCCTCCACTCACTTGCCATCACCTTCTTATCATCATCATCATCATGCTTATTATTCACTTCACCATCTTAATCTTTCACGATCACATGTGATCAACATGAGCTTAACTCTTAGTCTATTGTCTTTCCCCTTCGACTCTTTATCCTCATCATCTTAATCTTCATCCTTCTTTCAGAAAGAAACTTATCTTTTCCTTTCCTCCTTCATGTTCATATTTATTTTTGCTTGTAAATCATTTGCCATCATGTTATTGATAAACTTGACATTTTCTTGACATCTTTTTCCTTCATCCTAACATCATCATTATCATCATCAGTCTTTCTCTCTTTCTGTCTTTGTCTTCCAATTTCAATTACTTACATATTTTCATTCCTCTTCCCGCTGAATCCCTTTGAATCTTTACTCTATTCGAGTCCTTGGGAGTTTGTTCAACATCATTTACAAGTTTCTCGAATACGAAGACAATATTATCATTCCAACATTAGGGCTGATCAAAGATAATACTCAATCTCGATCGTACTGTTTGCTGCTCATCTTCCAGTTGATCATCATTCTCATAATCTCTCTCACTCTCAGCATCTTCCATGTTTTAACCTCCCAGTTATTTTTCAAATCATTCAACGTACCTGAAAATTCAGTAGATATTTTTTTCTTCTTCTTCTATTTCTCACTTTTACGTGTCTTCTGCATTTGGCAATAGACAATCCAATGATTTATGGTGGATTTAACTCATTGATAGACTTTTATCATCCTCATCATCTTTCTCATCATCATGTTTTTTCCTTCTCAATTGCAGTTCTCTCAATTTTGATCAATTCCAAAACAGAAAAGAAAATTTTTTTCCCCTTTTTCCTATTACATTTTTATTCCTTTATCTTTCACACCTCATGAAATAAAATGATTATTTCTGACCAGATTAACATCAGAATTGAATTTCAATTTAATCTTTTATCCATTTTCATTGAAAATCCTTTGCAAATAAATTATAACTCTTGTCATCGCCCTGATTTAGATAAATTGTCGTACATTTGATTGTTGAAAACAAAATTGTCTCAGAATTAAATTCAACATGATGAGAATCAAAACTATTCATTATTAATGTTCTTTTCTTTTTTTTCTCTACATGCAATCCACACCCATGGAAAAACATGAAATCACGAATTCACATTGTGATCAGTTCATAATGTAACCGGTGAGACGATAACAATATCACGAGTGACGCGCGTTCACATGGGCGCTTACCTTTGTATAGCCTCGAATGGTATTCCTAATTCAGTGTCCAGAAGATTTTTACTCCAAGTAAAATGTAAGTCAATTAATTAACCAAAATTGAGCCAATTTACAATCCAAGTAAAATGAACAATTACAATTAACCTTAAAATCTAGATGATAATCATAATGGCTACAAATGATTGTTACAATTTACAAAGATACGAACAAAACAATGAAGCTAATCTGCTAATTCAGCAGCAAAGGATAAAAATGTCAGATTAGATTAAGAGAAGGATAAAGAAGATGATGATAAATATATACTAATAGAAATGAGTAAGATAAAAGATAACAGTAACGAAAAGAAAAAGTTAATAATGAAGATTAAGAGGAAGATAAAGGTGAATGGATGATAATAGTGAAGGTGATTGGGATAAGATGAAGGTGTTGAAAGTAATCAGAAGCCGAAAATGTTTGTATATGTTACCTTAAACATTGCATCTAAAGAGTAGAGGTTGAGGATGGAAAAGTAAAGTAACTTTAATTAATTGATTAGTAGCAAATATCAGCTTTGTTATTATACTAATTAGGATAATAAAGGTTATAACAAGAGAAAGAGAGAGACATTGAGGGTATTCATGGGTATGCATTCATGTTATTTCATGATATCGCTTGTCAATGGATTTATTTTCCCATCTAACTACATATTAATTACTTTGTGAACATCTCAGAATTGACCTTATTGATTAACCGTATTGATATTTTTTAGTTTTTTTTTATCAATTAAAATCAATTTTCTGTCGATATTTGAAAATCGGTAGAAGTTGAAATTATCATGATGTTAACACAATGAATTGAATCAAATATATGACATCAATTTGATGATGTTTTCGAGATGTAATTGGATAATATGGTTAACCTCACATTAGTATTGTCATCATCATGAAATCAGGGTGATAGGAAACATTGACTCAGGAAGTGAAACTAAAAATCAATGAGTGTGTAACCATAATTGCAATAAGTTTTGATTTAATAAATTATATTATCAGTTATATTGATTAGTTAACTACTAAAAGGTTTTTATATCAAATTAACCTTGACTATGGTATTATCATCATGATAAGATAACTAATTGAAGCTCATTGATGATAAAAGATGATGATGATGATGAGGATAAGCAAGAGAAACTTTTTTTCCTTCAACATATAAGAATTTACTATTTGGATTAGACAGATAATAGATTAATATTAAACCATATAAATGTATTAATCGGTTGATTAACCATATCAAATATCATTTAATCAATATTGCAGTTGCTTTGGATATAACATATTATCATATCTTAATCAATTCTCATGTTAATCATGATGATTAAACAGATGAACATTTATAATGCAAATTGTTGTATCATCATAATCATGTATTACCTGTCATCTTTATCATCTTCTTCCTCTTATTATCATCATTATGATTCGGTTATCATGATGATAATGTTGACACCAATGGTGATAGGTTATCACGCAGGTTAACTTAATAAGAAAAAGCTTCTTCAGATTTATTTCTCTCCCTCTCTCTTTATCATCCTCATCTTCATCTTATCAATTGCATGTTATATGTGCGTTTTACTTTATTAATATTTGATATTTAATCATCATTATCGACCTTTGGGCTGATTGTTATTTGTCAGAATTCACCTTGATTGCGATTCATAATCAAATTGCAATTCTTTTTTATAAATGTGATGGATAATTTTTTAGATACATGTTATCCTACCTGGAAGAGTATCACATTTACTATGGTTTGTTTGTATGGTTCATTCATGATTTTTCATTTGATTACAAGGATTGAGGATTAAATCAGTGAAATGAATTGCGAGTTTTTTCATTGAGGTGAAACTTTTAAGTTTCTTATATCGAGTAACTGTATTTAGAGATTGATTTTTCATTCAAGTTTAAAAAGTGAATTTAGTTGAAAGGTGATCGACATCTTCATTTGAATATTTTAACCTGTGATCTTCATGATTTAAAGGCTGAAATAACTTGGAAATGTGAAAGATACTCAGGGTGGTTGGTGGGTGGATAAAGGACTTCGGTTAACGGACCTTAACTTGTAACATTATATGTAAAATAAGAGAGATGAGGATGTTGGTTGAGGTGGGTGATAATGCGACGGAAACTGGATGAATGGAAAGTGGAGAATGATGATGAGATAGTAAAGAGGATTTTTGGAAGATGAGAGGGTGGAAATTGGAAAAGATGAAAAATATCATTTTCCATGAATTCATTTAAGTTTTCATCTGCATGAGAAAACAGCATCTTCCTTTTACTCTTCCTCTTTTTCATCTTCATTCAAAGAGTCTCTCTCTCTCTCTCGTCTCCTTCTCTACACTTTTTGATAATGTCAACTAAGGGAGAGTCATTGAGAAAACATCATCTTTAACATCTCTCATCATCATCATCGTCTTTACTCTTCCCCATTTTTCTATTCTTACTCATCCTCATCTTCCTTCTCTCATCTTTAACCAAGTATCCACCTTTTATCCTGAATGAAAACCAATGTCAAGATGCTGAAGGGTATAAAAACACGGAATCCATCAGAACTCCAATTGTATCACTTCGATGATCTTTTCCCTGATTATTGAATAATTTTATTCAATTCCTTCATTTATTTTTTCCCATTTTCTAAAACTTAGTTTTCTTTAATTTTCATTTTATTCATATTAATCTCTTTGCTTAATTAAGCTAATCAATCTCTTTATGCTTAATCTCTGTATCACTAAAGTGATCTAATTGTTTAACAGTTTAACCAAAATTCCGTTAATTACCATTCAATGGTCTCTTCTTAAAGTACCAAAACTTTGGCCAAATTAGAAAGACTTTGATTTTCTCTTTCTTTTCTTCTTTCTCTTCCCTTTCTTATCCTTTTAGCTTTAACAAGCCTTTTACCTTTCAGAGGTTAAAACTTGTCTTATCATCATCATCATTACAAAGAAGATGATTTTTGGCGCGACAGTATTGTTCACTTGCTAATCTTATCCTTGTCATGATGATCACTAAAGTGATAAAAACGTTAAATTTTTCCCCTTTAACTATTACTAATTATGATTATTAATCATCTTCCCCCAATTTTGTTTTCTTTATTACTTTGTAATCTCTTCAACTAATCCTCAGTTTAATGCCTTCACTTTAACTGTTAAGTTCAAGTATCTCCATGTTAAACTCAATTTACCTTCTCTGTTTCTATTAAGTTCTCAATAAAGTTCAGTTCATTTTAACCATCACTTAGTGATCTTTGTTCAATAGAATTGATATTCTAATTGAGAATAATCCTGAAATTACTTGGAACAAATCTGAATTTGTGACAGATTTATCTCCTGATTCCCCATCCGTTGGTTATAGTTAATCTCTCAGAGATATTGTGTCTCTATCTCATTCTGTTGCTCAGAATTTCTCCCTCAACTTAATCAACAAATACTCACAAATTGGCGAGGTTACCAGGATTATTCTCTTCTCCCCTTTTTCAATTTCTATTGTGTTTCCCACTAGTGTTTTTGTGCTGTTCTTATAATGGCTAATAATAGTAAAGCTAAACTTTCTAGAAAGGCTGCCTTAGAAAAGGCTGAGCTGCTAAAGCTTCAACTCGTCGTACTGTGACCCTACACCAGTAGACCCAAGTGATGCCCCATTAGCATCTACTAGTAACGTTTCTGATGAAACAATGTTACAAACACCTCAAGCTCAACAAGCTTATCCTCCATCCACTCCAACTACTACAATTAGATCAACCCGACCCAAAACGGTCAATTTGATTGAAAAATCTCTTAGAGATCTTACCCCTGAAGAAATAACTTCTTTATTCCAACAATGGAACATCCAATTCACTCTTCGTTCTCTTGCTGCTAAAAATTAGCCGAAGTTGTAACAACTCATCTTCTTCTATGGTGAAGTTCTTGATTCTGATGAAATTCTAAATCTCCTGTTGCTGAAATTAAAGAACAAAATGTTCCAGATTGGCTTCTAGATTTTCGTTTGGAAAATATTTCTGAATTGGAAATTCAAACATTCATCAAATCAATCGGTCGTGATGATGATACTATTTTTCACATCACTCATGGTGAACTTTATGCTCTTCCCTTAGCTCTTGGAACTCTTAACAAGATGAAAATTGTTCTCAACCATCATGGTGCACAAATAATCGATCCTACAGTTTCTGTTGCTTCATCTACGATCTTATCCCCTGATTCACCTCTTACTGCCGCTTCTTTTCTTGAGATTGCTAAACAATTAAAAGTCGATCCTTATGTGCCTGAATTCGTAAAGGTGAAGATACTTATGGTTGGCTTATTAAAACTCGAGATCGCTTAGCGAAAGAAAACGTTGATGATTCAACTCGATTACGATTGCTACAAAAGCCATGGCCCATGAGATTAAATCTTTTGCTGTTGAATTGGAATCAATTACTGATTACGGTGAATATCTCAACTCCCTCTTTGAAAAACTTAAGACCCCTGAATCTCAGTATTCTGCCGATTTCGAACTACAACAATGTCGATATCATCCTGAAAATCATCCCGAAAAATTTTTCTCTGAAATGAAAAGACTAATCAGTAAAGCATTTGGATCAGTTACTGATCGCATGTATGTTTCTCTAATCCTCCAACACATCCCTAAGTATATTCGAGATGACATTTATACCTTAGGTATCAATGACGATAAAACTCGAATCTTCAATTTTCTCACTCGATTACACTTCGATTATAAAAACTCTAAAGAGAGAAACAAAGATAAACCCAAAACTTTTTCTAGATCTTCTGATCGTCCTGATAAATCATCACTCACCTCAAAACTTTTCAAAAGTAACAATCACAACGATAAAATTATTCCTTCTGATAAAACAGAACCTCTAATCCTAATCAATCCAGATCATCTAATCAAACAAAGGTGATAAATTCTGCAATTACTGCAAAGAAACTGATCATACAGTTAACGAATGTGTTCGTTTGGCCAATAAAAAGGCTAGAGATGCTGCAGTGGAAAAGTTCAACAAAACCCACTTCATCTCAATCAACATTCTCCAATTTACCTGCTAATTTAACCA